AAAAAAAAAAAAAGATGAGGCCCTGATGCGAACGTGGGCCTGTGCACTCGAGGAGCAGAAAGGTCCTGCTGAGCTGGCCCAGGGAGCCAGGACGGTAGCCTTTGTGGACAGGGAGCGGGCCACGGAAGGACTCGGACACCGTGGCTTCCAGAATCCAAACCAGAACCTGAATCAGTGCCTCATTTCTCCCCCAGAGACGGTCTGCCTCCCAGGGTCTGGCCTTGGGGTTGGACGCAGGCTGGCCTCTTTCAGGGGAAGCTTGAAGCGACCCAGGGTGCCACCCACCACCACCCTCGCCCCCCAGCACGCAGGACCGGCCCGAGGCCACGGCCTTCAAGGCTCAGCTCTACCCACCTCCAAATCCTCTCGTCTTCAGCTCCTCATCCCGGATGATCGTTGGGGTGATCCCCAGGTCTTTTCCAACTTTCTTAATCTCCTGGACACGATCATGGAAAAAGCAACACAAAGACACATGAAAATGGCTTCAATCAGGACGAGGCCGTGGCTCTGGGCCAGGGATGAGCCGACGCCCGCGTGGCGGAGGGGAGCCAGGGCCCCAGCTCTCTCGGCTTTGGGCGTGATCAAATCCAGGACAGAGGGCCCAGCCTCCAAACTACAACTTCCTGCAGGTTCACGGCTGCAGTCCTGCAGAGAGGCCTCGCGGAGGAGGCTCTGTCCTCCCTCCGCCCTCCGCCGAGGCCTGCTGGCCCCTCGCAGCTGGAGGGACAGCAGGACCTTGTCCACAGCCGCCCCACGCTTCCTTGGGTGAGCTGCAGTGACTATGGACACCGTCCCCTCCGGCCTCAGGTTTCCTCTGGCTTCCTCGGGGTCCACCGATGCTTCTTCCACCCTGGCCCCACCTTGGCATGACTGACTCCCCTGGGCCACGAACCTCGAGGAACGTGTCTGTGTTCATCTCATTACACGGAGTGTCCACAATACGGGCAGCCAGCCGCACGCCTTCCGTGGCGTTTGTTAAGCACTGGGGAAGAAAACCAGAGGCTGTCACCGGGGACCTGGGGCCAGGCAGCAAAGGCCGTCCCTCCCTCTCTGTTCCCCCAGGGGCCAAAGGCACAGGCAGCACCGAGGGGAGGTTTCGGGGCTGCTGACAGGGCCTCGAGGGGCAGGTCACGCTGCCCGCTGTTGCTCTCCAGTGCCTGTGACCCATCCAGCAGCCTTCAGAAAGTTCAGCGTGGCTCCGTACCTCGCCTCCAACACAGATGACACAATAGCCCTGCAGCCTGGCGTCCCGGCCGGCCGTCAGTGGGACCCACCTTCCTTGCCAAGACTCCTCTGCTGCTTACCCCCTCATTCTGGTGTCAGGCGGCCCCTGGGCCTGGCCCTGAGCACACGCTTGGCATCCCCGCCCCGGCACCTGCCAATCCCACGTCCCCTGCTGGGGAGAAGTGCCGTCCTTTGCTCCTGACTGAACGAACGTCTGTGTCGCCCCCAAACTGGTACCTTGAGGCCCTAACCCCCAACGTGATGCTATTAGGAAGACTTTGAGAGGGGATCAGGTTGCCATGAGGTCGGGAGGGTGGGGCCCACCGTGGGAGTAGAGTCCTCAGTAGGAAGAGGGAGGGCGCGGCGAGAAGGTGACCACCTACCAATCAGGAAGTCTCCACCACACCCCACCCTGACCTCAGACATCCGGCCCCCACGACCGTGAGGAATACCTATCTGTAAAGACGCCCCCCGTGGCCTGTTGTGGCCTGAGCTGTAACACACCCTCCCTTCTCCTCTGGTCAAGGCCCTGGCCATCCTTTGTGGCGCCTCTTGAAGGCCGTGTCCCCCGGAAGCTTCTCTGGACCTTCCCAAAAAAGTATTCTTTGTCCTGCGCCCACTGGCCCTCCTTCCGGCCCTCCGGCCATCAGGGTGGCGTTTTTGTCACCTGAGCCCCAGGTGAATGTGTCACAGACTCCCTGCCCTGTCTTCCTGGCCATCCAATGCCACACCACTCTGGGCACGGGGTCCCCACCCTGCCTCGTGCGGCTCACACGTTGGCCCAGAGCCCAGGAGGGAGCAGGAACCCGACACCGTCCACCAAACTCAGCCCGGCACGGGGGACGCCCTCTAGACGGGTGTCTGCGCTCCGATGCGGACGCTGCCCACCCCCGCCACCAGCCACCCCTCCAGGCCCTGCCTCTAACTTCTGCCAAGAGCATCTGTCCTGCTCTCGCTTTAACACCGACCCTGGAAGTTCTTTGCCTTCTCGTTCGTCTCCACCTGGCTGCCGCCCACGGCGCCCCCTGCCCCACCCCGCGCCCCCCACCACCACCCCATGCTTCAGACACTGGGCTGGCCGGCTGCCTCCATCAGCGCGCAGGGAAGGGGCGTGATCAGAAGAGCGACGGCACAGGTGCAGCGGGGGTACAGACAGCTGGAGCGTGTCATTGCCCTCCCCAGCCCCACAGCGTCGGGGAGGCCAGGCTCGGGGGCGACGGCACCTGCCCAGCCACCTCCTAGGCCCTGCCGAATGGCTCAGAGAGCTCCTGCCATCCCCAGGTAATTACACCCCAAAGCCTCAAAGGCAGAGACGCAGGACCGGACAGCTCAGATAGGAGATGTGACCGTGTGGTCCCCGCCACCTGACAGCGGGGTCTCCTCTGGGAGGCTGAGGGTCCCTGTCCGCGGCTGTCGCGGAGAACATTGCTCATCTGTGACGCAGCCCGTGGCTGCTGTCTGGGAAGCGTGTCAGTGCCCCAAGACTCGTCTCGAGGGAGGCCAGGCGCTCGGCCGGCAGGCCTCCGTGAGCTCAGAGCTCCTGGTGCGGCGCGGCCGGGCGAGAGGGCCGACGGCACCTGCGGGGGAGGCCGGGGAGGCTCCGGGTGCCCTCCGGCACCCCAGAGCCTCGTGAAGAGCCTGCGCCTCCTCGTGCCTCAGCCTCCCCATCACAAAAGCAGGATCAAGCATTCATTCATTCATTCATTCATTCATTTCATTCCACCCACGTTTCTGGGAGCTCCCGCTGTGCGGCAGGCTCCACACTAAACCCTGGGAATTTGAACGTGTCCACGGTATTCCGGTCCAGCAGAAAATCGCAACACCCCACTCGGTTAAACGCTACAGGGGAGGAGAGGCCACAGGAGCCCAGACCGGAAGAGGACATGGAGGGGAGTCGAGGGGGGCCCCAGAGTATAGAAAGGGCCACACGGGTTATCAGAAGCTCCTGCGCTCATGATCCAAGGCAGACGGGACAGAGGACTGACGGACAGTGGCCGCGGTTAAGACCTGGCTCTGTCCCTTGCTGGTGGGGCCCCCTTAAGTCACCTGATGTTGCAAAGCCTCAGTCTACCCAGCTCTACAATGGGATTAAGGACAGGCACCAAGACAGGCTGTCGAGAGGATTAAGCACGGGTGTGCGTGCGCTAAGAGCAGTTCCTGCTACCCGACAAGCCCTGGAAAACTCCGCGCTCACGTGGCCAGAGGAAGGACGAGCGTCTGGAGGCAGCAAGACCAGCGAGGAGACTGCTGCAATGGTCCAGGAGAGCAGCAGGGGGCGGGGGCGGGGGTGGGGTTCCCCGTGGCAGTGGCAGTGGGCAGAGCAAGATGCCCTGGACGGGGGTCAAGGAGACCCACCAGCCCAGCGGCCCTCGTCACGGGTCGGGCTGTGCTGGGGCTACAGACCGGAAGCTTCTGGAAGCTTCCATCCCAACGTGGGGCACAGAGGCTGAGCAAAGATGTATCACACGAGGTGGGATGGTG